CAAACACCCCCCCCCCCCCCCCCCCCCCCCCCCCAAAAGTCAATTTGCCCAATAGCTCCGAAAGGCTTGACCAAATAAAAGTAAGTGAATCGGACTAAATAACACATATATGGATATATTTATTACAAGTCTTTTCACTGTCATAGATTTATTAATCAATCGAAATTTCTGGGTGTTCGCGAGTTGTTATCTGTTTGATATAACGATATAATATATCGTGTAATATAAGCGATAACGTATAAGATGGACTGTCAAAGCTGCCTGTCAAAGTCGACTGCGATCATTGACAAAAAGGTGACTTGCGTAATAATGGCCTACATAAACTGAATTCAAATTCAAAGTCAAAATCCTTTCGTCCTTAATTATTACGAAATTTGCTAAATTGTGAAAATTCGCTTCTTCAGACCACAAAAAGTACGCAATACAATGATAGTAGTATACAATAGATTATACACCTTGTGGGAAAATATTAAAATATACATTTAGTGCAATAAGACTATTATTGATATGATCGTAGCTTGAGAAAGTCAACATAACCCAGCGTGCTCAGGTGCGCATAGTAAAAACCGCTAAATTTGATCATTTGTTATAATATTACAAACTAAGTATTAGACGTATCATCTTTCTGGAGCGAGCAAGGACCACCAAATTTTCCGAGAAATGCTTGGCTGCCCCTGGCCCCTCATAGAAACGTCGATGTCTCCGTGATGAAAGTGTCAAAATTTTCATTCTTCTTAGTTTTTCAGTCAATGAAATTCGTTTTTTTTGTGTGTGGTAATTAAGCAATTAACTTTCCTTTATTGAAATAACTGAAATATCGTTCTTTAAGTTAAAACCAGTGCAACTCTGGTGTAAATAAAATAATCTTTTCTAACCGGAACTATTATTACTCGGAACTTCTCACAAATAAAACATGATTTGAGTTGACAGAAAAAATTTCAGTAATGTGACACAATCAAATGGGCGTGCGCCAATAGTACACTTACATGACGTTTTAAAGGGACAGATGCGGCATTTTTTTTTTGGGGGGGGGGGAGTGATTTTCGTCTTGAATATATGTTGATAGTCTTCAGAAGTCCTAGAAATGTACGAAAATCGCATAATTCCTTACTAATTTCTCGCTATTTCTATATATGTCTTTTCTATATATCACAGATTATCTTAAATGACGAGTCGTCGTGGCTGAATTTGAAGGCGCAAATTTTAATGGTTAATTGTAAACACTATTACTGATTGGCTTAGCTAAAAAAATCCCGTTTCTGAGAATAACGTATTATCGGTCAAAAAGAAAAATGGCCCACCTGTCCTTTTAGTTTAATAAGAGACTTTAAAAAATGGATCAATCCCATATCTCGAAAAGAGGCAGGAACTGACCTCAGTAAAATTTCCCAGTATCCGCTTTCTTGTTTCATCCGGATCTAGAAAATGACACCATTCAATTTGATATTCTATGAACATTATTTTATTTTATTTATTGTGTAAAACTCGCTGCTTTCATATGCCGTCGATATAGTGAGTCCATAAAACCAATGCCAACAAGTTTAAGGCATTATTAGAACAAATATGGCTTCATTTCCACAATTTATCTCTTCCAGCGACCAGGTAACGCAAATCAATAAAGGATTTTAATTAAGAAGCCCTTCAGTATTTGGAACATCGACTATAAACCGTCATTTAATAATAATAATAATAATAACTTTATTTGGCAACCCATTTATACAGAAGTCTAATTTTCAATAGGTCCCACTAAACTACATATTATATACAAGATTACAGAAAGAATAAAATCACTGAAAATAACATAAAACATATGTCCATTTACAATGTATCACGGATGTGGTGAAGAATATAAAAATGTAAACACTTGGTTTCTTATAATGATATATATGATGGTATAAGTTTTTTTAAGTAAAATGAAATGGAGAGAAAAACAAAAGAAATGGTTATAAATGCTATGGAATCAATTAATCCGTAAGAACAAACTTCTTCAGTTCTTGTTTAAATGTATATAAAGAAGGATTATGTTTTACAGTTTGTGGTAATGAATTCCAAAGTAAAGAAGCTGTATATTGAAATGTTCTCATCATAGCAGTTTTATTACATTTAACTTAACATAGACTTTACATTATAGAAGTAAAGAACTTGGTGGTAGTCCTACGTCCAACAAGACGCAGATTGGCATTCTATGGAAGAACACCTAAAGATCAATAGACATGACGGAGGCCGAAAGCTTTAAAGGGATTGGAAAGAGGTTTGATTACGTCACTAAACTCGAAGGGCCTCAGGTCATGAAGCATGTTTTGCGATTAGTGACGTCATCAAACACTTAGTCTTTCTGCAGTAGAACAAAGAAGAAACGAATCGTGTCCGCACCGTGTCCGGACTACTACACCGTGTGTTCACTTCTTCTATTTCCGTTTGTATCGAAAATTCCACACGGTACACCGCACCGACACCGTACCTCGTCTATTCCAGGCATCAGACGTCATTTATTTTAACGTGAAGGAACATTACAACGACGAATCTTCTTTGATTGAAATAATGGTAAAATGAAATAAACAGAATTTTTTTTAAAGAGAATGTGCGTGTTTAAAGGACATGATGTTTCTGACTGAGAGATTAATTATGTTATCAGTATTGGAGATAGATCGGGTGTCACCATGCTCGTGGGTTGGGTTCACCATTTCCAGTAAAAGGCTGTCATCTCGAATACGAAGCCATTCGCATCCTGTATCACGAAAACTAAGAGTTCCAGAACGGCAAAGTTTGGCTTCCTCCAAATGTACAGACGAGGGAAGGTTTGATTTCCTTCAAATGTACAGAAGAGGGAAGGTTTGATATTCTCCAAATGTACAGTAGATGGAAGGTTTGATTTCCTCCAAATGTACAGACGAGGAAAGGTTTGATTTCCTCCAAATGTACAGACGAGGGAAGGTTTGATCTCCTCCAAATGTACAGACGAGGGAAGGTTTGATCTCCTCCAAATGTACAGACGAGGGAAGGTTTGATCTCCTCCAAATGTACAGTAGATGGAAGGTTTGATTTCCTCGAAATGTACAGTTGAGGGAAGGTTTGATTTCCTCCCATTGTACAGACGAGGGAAGGTTTGATTTCCTCCAAATGTACAGTCGAGGGAAGGTTTGATTTCCTCCAAATGTACAGTAGATGGAAGGTTTGATTTCCTCCAAATGTACAGACGAGGGAAGGTTTGATCTCCTCCAAATGTACAGTAGATGGAAGGTTTGATTTCCTCCAAATGTACAATCGAGGGAAGGTTTGATTTCCTCCCATTGTACAGACGAGGGAAGGTTTGATTTCCTCCAAATGTACAGTCGAGGGAAAGTTTGATTTCCTCCAAATGTACAAACGAGGGAATGTTTGATTTCCTCTAAATGTACAGACGAGGTAAGGTTTGATTTCCTCCAAATGTACAGACGAGGGAAGGTTTGATTTCCTCAAAATGTACAAACGAGGGAATGTTTGATTTCCTACAAATGTACAGTCAAGGGAAGATTTGATTTCCCCCAAATGTACAGACGGGGTAAGGTTTGATTTCCTCCAAATGTACAGACGAGGGAAGGTTTGATTTCCTCCAAATGTGCAGACGAGGGAAGGTTTGATTTCCTCCAAATGTACAGACGAGGTAAGGTTTGATATCCTCCAAATGTACAGACGAGGGAAGGTTAGACTTCCACCAAATGTACAGACGAGGTAAGGTTTGATTTCCTCCAAATGTACAGACGAGGGAAGGTTAGACTTCCACCAAATGTACAGGCGAGGGAAGGTTTGATTTCCTCCAAATGTACAAACGAGGGAATGTTTGATTTCCTACAAATGTAAGAAATTTTTGTTCTTTGTCATTCGATCTGGAATTTGATAAACGTTTTCAAATTGTCCTGTATCAAAAGATTGCGATTTTTTTTATAGTCGCACAGCTCTTTTTTTGAAATGTTTCAATTTTCATCGATATTTTAATTGCATAGTGTTAGTTTTTCGTTTGAATGTATCAATACCATTGATCTCTTAATGAAAATAATATTAAGATATTTAGTTCATATAAACTGAAGATAAAATCGAAATTATGCAGCAAGATGACAGAACCTCAAGGCCGATCTGCGATCAATTTCGTCTATATTAGCATCAATACAATGTCAAGGACATCGAGAATCTATGATGTAAGCTTACGTACTTAAACATGTGACAAACTGCACTCGATAAATGTAATCTCAATATAGCATCTCATCGACTTCATAAATCAATAGTGGTATTTTAAAGAGGAACCATGATTCTGTATAGAGGAACAGGAATCTGTATAGAGGAACAGGATTCTGTATAGAGGAACAGGATTCTGTATAGAGGAACCGGATTCTGTACAGAGGAACAGGATTCTGTATAGAGGAACAGGATTCTGTATAGAGGAACAGGATTCTGTATAGAGGAACAGGATTCTGTATAGAGGAAGCATGATTCGTAAAAACTTACAGATACTACAAACATTGAATATAATATGAACTTATGAACAATACAAATCAAAAAAACAAAAAAAAAATCCATCTATTATTCAAAAGTCTTTGTTTATATATATGATATTTTGCTAAACAATACTTCAGGTTAGTTACAGCATGATTCTTTACAGAGGAAGAATGATTCTGTATAGAGGAAGAATGATTCTGTATGGAAGAAAAACGATTCTTTAGAGTACGCACGATTCTTTTTATAAAGGAACTGTGATTCTATAGAGGGAGGAATGGTTCTATTATAAAGGAAGTATGATTGTATACAGAGGAGGCATGATTCTTTATAAAGGAAGTATGATTCTTGATAAAGGAAGTATGGTTCTTTATAAAGGAAGTGTGATTCTATATAAAGAAAGTATGATTCTCTATAAAGGAAGTATGATTCTTTATAAAAGAAATATGGTTCTATACAGAGGAGGTATGATTCTTTATAAAGGAAGTTTGGTTCTTTATAAAGGAAGTGTGATTCTTTATAACAGGGAGTATGATTCTTGATAAAGGAAGTATGATTCTTTATAAAGGAAGTATGATTCTTTATAAAGAAAGTATGATTCTCTATAAAGGAAGTATGATTCTTTATAAAAGAAATATGGTTCTATAAAGAGGAGGTATGATTCTTTATAAAGGAAGTATGGTTCTTTATAAAGGAAGTGTGATTCTATATAAAAGGAAGTATGATTCTTTACAGATGAGGTATGATTCTTTATAACAGGAAGTATGATTCTTTATAAAGGAAGTATGATTCTTTATAAAGGAAGTATGATTCTTGATAAAGGAAGTATGATTCTTTATAAAGGAAGTATGATTCTTTATAAAGGAAGTGTGATTCTATATAAATGGAAGTATGATTCTTTATAACAGGAGTATGATTCTTTATAAAGGAAGTATGATTCTTTATAAAGGAAGTATGATTCTTGATAAAGGAAGTATGATTCTTGATAAAGGAAGTATGATTCTTTATAAAGGAAGTATGATTCTTTATAAAGGAAGTATGATTCTTTATAAAGAAAGTATGATTCTCTATAAAGGAAGTATGATTCTTTATAAAGGAAGTATGGTTCTTTATAAAGGAAGTATGGTTCTTTATAAAGGAAGTGTGATTCTATATAAAAGGAAGTATGATTCTTAACAGAGGAGGCATGATTCTTTACAGAGGAGGTATGATTCTTTATAAAAGAAATATGGTTCTATACAGAGGAGGTATGTTTATAAAGGAAGTATGATTCTTTATAAAAGAAATATGGTTCTATACAGAGGAGATATGATTCTTTATAAAGGAAGTATGATTCTTTATAAAAGAAGTATGGTTCTATACAGAGGAGGCATGATTCTTTATAAAGGAAGTATGATTCTTTACAGAGGAGGTATGATTGTTTATAAAGGAAGTTTGATTCTTTATAAAGGAAGTATAATTCTGTATAAAGGAAGTATGATTCTATACAGAGGAGGTATGATTCTTCATAAAGGAGGCATGATTCTAAATAGAGCAAGCGCGATTATAAAGAGGGACAATGATTCTTTATCAAGTGAACAAAATTCTATAAATATATATACTTTTTGATATGGAAACGGCTGCAGCCATATCTACTCTCAACTTCTTTGCTCGCTTTTTCGTGGGCGATGAGTCGAGTTTACTCGCTTTCTCGTGGACGAGAAGTCAAAAGTATATATGGCCGCAGCCTGCTCCCATATGTTTAGGTAGGTGGTAAAGCGTGTTCAAGTAACATTTTCGATTAAATTCCATTTGAGTATATTATTTCCATTGCTCTTTAACATGTGTTTTATGATCAAGTTAGGTCATATGTTTCTTTACATATAAATGCAGATGAAGACTTACATATTATGTTTACAACAAATTATTGTGCCAACAATCACTAATTAAGCAATGACGTCAAAATCAGAAGACTTAGACAAATACATGTAATGATCAATATTTAAGTTCATTTCTGTATTCTTCATCTGTTGACTTCAAATTTGTCAATCTGTTCTAAAATTATTAACCTGGAGGGCCAAGGTTAGATCTAGGCATTTGGCGATATGATGGATGTTCTCAAACCGATTCCTCCTTGTCGGTTATGCAGGTTTGATGAAAAGCGAGCACTTTTGTGCAACCGGCTGTGTATGATAATGAGCGATCGACCACTTAGACATTTCCTTTACACATCGCCAATCTTCATGACCCAATCTGGAGCAGTTTCGTAACATCCATTAAATTTCTCAAAATTCAGTTATCTGAACGAGTTGTCTCTACGAGCTTTATCTAGACGCCCGATCGTTTACTCGTGTACTTTTATTAATGATGCTAGATTGACACCTTAAAAGGTTGGCATATTTTTTGGTTCCAGAAAATTGAGTCGACTCAGTTAGTGCTTTCCGGGCAAATTTCCTATCATTTCATATCTATTTTGTCAATGAATTTCTTATAAATAGTAATAAACGTCAATGCCTGTCTACTTTCGATGTTGCATGATGAACATCGGTCTCGTGATAATATTTATTATACAAGTGTATGTATAATAGATCAGGGTGTGACCATTTTATACAAGGATAACAACTTAGGTCACGGCGATCTTGTTTACCAGGTGTTTATTGACCAAACTTCCTGACATTGCTCTTTGAATAATGAGAAAAGGTGACTTATTCAGTTCACCAAACTTTCATAAGCCGATCAGAAATATAACCCACGACTATCATTTGTTCGGCGGAACCAATTAGCCCGTCCACTGTCGGTATACGTTAGTTTGTTATATACAGATTGACTTTAGCTTGCCAAGAACAAGATTGTCATTTAAGTTTTGGTTTTCTTTGCGACATGCTGAATACAGATTTAAAAGGTTTGTGATATCGCGTGACGCAAGGTGATATTGGTTTTACAGCGGATTATTATTCGACTATACACTAATTATAATCTTGAAATACGCCATAAATGATATATTAAAAAGACAATCGTGACAATTATGCTATGTTGAATGATGTAAGAGACACTAGCGAATGAGATTTAACATAAAATCCAGCTTCTGAGATATTTAGGTTAAGTCTCTGCTTGATGGGCGCTTTCTCTCCAATTTTTAATTGCTCTACTCTTAAAAGTCAAAAAGATTAAACTAATGTCACTGTCCGTACAAGCAGCAATTCCGCCGAGTTAGACGCTTCTTTGTCTTTTATTGGATTCGAAATATGCCCAACAGTGGCATAACTATCTTAGCCCATTTTCTTTACTCGACAATAAGAAAATAATTACTTGAATTTGTAACCAGCCGCAGCAGCCTTATAGGCTGTGCGTTATCATTAATGCAATTACGACACGGCATATTTCATGCATGTTTTTCCTTTTGGTTCCTTTCTTCTAAAGAATCATAGTGACTTAAAGGGACAGTATGCATAATTTTCTTTACACGTTTATTTTACTTAAATTCAAACAGTAGTTGTATTACACCTATCAAAAAACATCATGGACTTATTTACGTTAAATTTTTAAATAGTTTTGGCGTTTAAAAATTAATAGCTGATTTGTTTTAGTTCAAACTTTCAGATACATTAAGGGACAGTTTTTGGTACATTAAAGTATTCATAAATTTAAGCAAAAAAAAAAATTTGACCTCGAAAAAAAACCTGGAATGTTTCTTTAAGCATGAAATATTATAAAAGATAATATCATTAAGTTTCATTAATAAAGCGTGGAACTTTACTTATACGTATAGATATATTTTACCCCACAGTCAATGACGTCATAATATAAAAAAAATTGATTCTGAAATGGTTTTGATATACAAAGGGCGTTACCATAGTTTCAAAGCTGATAGACAGCTTAACATTAATAGCCGTATGCGCCCTAAGAATTATTCCTTTCATCAAAGAACTATTAATAATCGTATTTTCCTGAAGAATTATTTTTGTCCCATAGATCGTACTTTCCTGAAGAACTATTTCTTACCAATAGACCGTCATTTCCCGAAGAATTACATCTTTCCCATGAATCGTACTTTCCTTAAGAATTATTTCTTTCCCATAGATCGTACTTTCCTGAAGAACTATTTCTTTCCCATAGATCGTACTTTCCTGAAGAACTATTTCGTTCGCATAGGTTTCAACAGCTAGTTGCGAAGGAAACAACCGCTGAAAATAAATAACTGCACTTTATTATCAAATTAAAAAAAAACCTGCACTTCCTAGATGTTCTATTTTGATCCTGCACTTGACAGATAAATATAAATAAAAGGTGAATATAAATTTAATCTTTAAAGAGCCACGATAAATGACGAGGCATCTATTTAAATAACATTTTAAACTTACATGGTATATTGTTGCCATAATTAAGAAAAAGTTAATAATTGGTTTATTAAAAATCGCCCTTTAACGTATCGGAAAGTTTTAACTAAAGACATCCAGCCGTTAATATTTAGACGCTAACAATATTTAAAAACATTACGTAAGGTTTTTATGTTCGTTATGCTTTTTGGAATACTTCTGTATACATAATTTTAGGTATAATTTACAACGCTTTTAATCACGACTTTAAAACGGAATGTTGCTTTTAAATGAAATTGCGATAAAGCCACATAATGGTCGAACAAATCATTACCCGAGGGCCGCCATGCAGGATGCAACGAGGGAAATCTTACCAGGACAGTGGCATTAGCCTGCTCTTTTACGATTTCCAACTCTCGAGGGATCTTTAACGCGTGCACATGTAGCACACGGGGCCTAGGTTTATTGTCCCATGCGAACGACTAGACGCTTTTCCATGTCAGCCCCTCTCACCTGCATGACTGAAAGAGGGAAACCGGATTAAAAAAAGGTTATTTTGGCCTAAGCAGGGATTGAACCCTAAACCTTCAGGTCAGCGAGTAAACGTCTAACTCACAGAGCCATCGCGGTTTCCTTCACACTATTTGGAGAAATGAGAAATAAAATTGCCAACTCTACGTTCGTATTGAAAATTTTGGACTGTCAACAGTTTATATGTCAGGAAGCCACCATTAACGATATGTTAACACCATGCTGTGTCTAATTAACAAGAGTTTATCTCATGCTGTCGATACGTCGTGTGTTCGATATTAAAGCACGACAGTTTAAGTATGACAGACAAGTCACGTATTCGATATTAAAGTCTCAGCACGACAGTTTAAGCATGACAAACACGTCTTGTGTCCGATATTAAAGTATCAGCAGAATTGACGGTTTGATCAGGAGAGACACGTTATGTGTCCGATATTAAAGTCCTGGCATGACAGACTAGTCATGTGTCCGAAATTAAAGTCTCAGCACGACAGTTTAAGCAAGAGAGACACGTCATGTGTCCAATATTAAAGTCTTAGGACGACAGTTTAAGCATGACAGACACGTCTTGTGTCCGATATTAAAGTCTCAGCACGACAGTTTAAGCATGACAGACACATCATGTGTCCGATATTAACGTTCCAGCAGGGCGTCATGTGTCTGATATTTTATTTGGTGTCTTATTAACAAGAGATCAGTTCACATTGTCGATACGTCAATGGTAGGTTTGAGCATGACAGACACGTCATTTGTTCAATATCTAAATCTCAGCAGAACTGGTGGTTTGAGCATGAGAGACACGTTATTTGACCGACATCTATCTCTCAACAGAACTAGCGGTTTGAGCATGAGAAACACGTCATGTGTCCGATATTAAAGTCTCAGCAGAATTGACGGTTTGATCAAGAGAGACACGTTGTGTGTCCGATATTCAAGTTTCAGCAAAACTGACGGTATGACAATTTTCAAAACTCGTATTCATATGGATGATAACCATGTGTAAATACCACATTACATCGAACGGGTATTTCCAATGACGACACACAATGAAAGCAATACTTCACATTGGTTATCGCGTGAGAGTTGAGCCACATCACAGTCTACCTTGCACTAATGAGTTACCTTGCTAATAACTCTTAAACCCATATTGTCTTCAAATTACTTCCTCAATCGATAGAGTACATCAGCATATTTTATAATACATGTATATCATACGAAACTACGAATGAGTCTTTCATGGAAATAACACACAGCCAATTTGAATCTGCATCTCGACTAAATAATTCGAATTCTTAAAATGGCTTTGTATTTCAACAAATCCTTCAAATCACATTTAAAGTTAGCAATTTGCTTTTTATTTGTTTTGAAAGCTTTAGTTGTATATCAAACGAGAAGTACTATTTGGTGTTTCGAAAAGAGTAAGCATGGTCTATTTAGCGAAACATTCCCCACTACTATATAGTCGAAAATCACCAGATCAATTATTGCCTGACTAGACAAATCGAATATGAAAAAAGCAGATTTTTTGTACTAGTCAAGGAGTTCTCCATAACGATCGTTAAAAAAATTAAACGTCAAGGGAGGAAATCCTGCACATTATTAAATGAATGAAGACGGGCAACACAATGTGGTGTGTAATGAGGGAAATTTTATCAGGACACCGGACAAAATATAAAGCGCAAGTAAAAGGTGATCCAGATTATTCAAGACGCCAAATAAGAAACTGGAATATAATTGAAAGGTACTATATGAGTTTTCTACACAAAAAATCGGCGACCAAGACTGTTCGTGTGCCCACACCATAGGACGTGAAACTTTCAATCTATCATCATCACGAATTTAAATCATTCATCAGAAACCACACGCATAATATCATTCTAGCATCACTGGGTTTCAATATCACGCACTATCACATTTTAACAATCCGTCCGTCACACGTGTCCCTAAGCTATTCTTAGAGAAGGGGAGAGAGTGAGGGAGGGTGTACGTGTGTGTGGGGAGGGGGAGGGGGTGTGTGTGGGGAGGGGGGGGTGGGGATCAATGCTTGAAAAATTCTTGTTTTGTAAGTGTGATTATTAAAGCTTAAAAAACAAATGTATTCCATATCGGGGGATTTAAACCTATTTATTTTGATCAGATCCGCCAAACCCACATATATTCGGTAACATGGACATTTTTGTAGTTCACGTTACAGTGTCACGTAAAAACAAAATGAAAGTAACCGTGATCCGAAACAGTTTTCCCTTGTTGCCACCTTCGCTTAAAAGCTATAGAAAAAACATTATCTCTTCGCGAGATTAGATAACGTAAATAGACAAAAATCTTTTCGAAATTTCTCATAATTTAGATACGATTTGCATCCGTGTTTGTTATGAGGTTTTCAGAAGGTTGAAAAATACAGAAATCTTTAGTAAACTTGTTGGTTTTCTAAGGGTGATCTTTTCTTCTTGAAAATCGTTCTTTTTCAAGAAGAAAAGATCACCCTTACTGATAATAAAGCAATGAATTTGAATCAATACTTTTGACAAGTCAAGGAGACTTTAATAGTCACGAAACATAGTTCTGAAATTTCGGGGAATTCCCATAACAATTATATTCACAGGTGTGTAATACAAATAATTTGATTGTATTTGTGTTAAAGGCAGACAAAATTGTCTGATTCACAATGGAACACACCCATACAACGAGGAGCTAATACTGATATCATTGTTAAAAAATTCAGATATGCGCCCATCAACATATTGGGGTTTCACTAGAGTTTGACCCTTTTAAACATTTATACAAGACCCACTCCTTAATTTTCTACAAGGGTTTAAAGTCATTGACATTGTATGAGAGATTTACGAAGCTATAAGAGAGCGTCAAAATCGTCGAACTCTTGAATATTGAAACCCACAAAATACTATTCATGTATGAAAATCCACCACATACAAAACATGTATTAAAATTTGAAATCTCGGAAAAATAGATTGCAACAAACACAGTGGTTAAACTGTGCCAAAATCATCATTACTTTTCTCTTTTGTTGATGAAACAATGCAATTCGGTCAGTTTTTTTTAAATTTCATAATCAATAAAGTTCATTAAAATAGGATAATTCCCTTTACTGACATTGAAGGAAAAACCAAAATATTACAAAAAGTTACAAATATCCATTAGGGTGCGGGCACACGATCGCCGTTTTTTGTCGCGGACTCGAATCATAAATAAAATCTCACCTCTGCCTGCTTCCACGACACGATTTAATATATCTTAGGGTGGGGGCACACGAACAGTCTTGGTCGCCGATTTTTGTCGCCGACACGAATCATAATTAAAATCTCACCTCTGCCCGAGCTCTCACGACAAGATTAACAAGTTTCATATTTGTCATATTGTTTTATCGTCTACATGGCAGAGCGTCATCATCCAATCAGATTCGATTTGCCTTTAATTTCATGACATAGTGGAAAACGAACGACTGGAGATTCTTCGTCCCCTCGTGTGACAAGGCTCTAGCCGGCGACAAAAATCGCCGACCAAGACGGTGCGTGTGCCCTTACTTTTAGAAGACCAGGAAGCCGGAATTACTAACAATGTCCTTTTGGAACACTGCCAAACCTTCACCCCTCATAGATATAAACTATCTCTATACCAGCGATTGCAGAAAGACACGACGTAAACTTCATTTAATTTCATATACCAGCGACGAATAGAAAAAAAACACCCACAATTTGTTACAGTAGTACCATTACAATTCTTGCATTCATAGTGAGAAATGCAGAGGTTAAAGGGACAGATTCTGCATCGTCGTACCTTAATCTCAGAAACGTGAAATATTTTTGTAGCCAATCAGTAATAATGTTCACAGCTCACCGTCGAAATTTGAGACTTCAAATCCATGTGTGTCTAGAATTATCCGCGTTAATTCTAATTTTAATTAAAATTGACGACTCGTCTTTTCTTGAGACTTGAGAAAAATTGAAAAGAAATACATTGAAATAGAAAATGAAATTCCTAGATTGAGATATTTCAGAAGGAGTTATGAGATTTTCGATATTTCGAAGACTTCTGAAGACTATTTACATAATATATTCAAGACCCAAATGAACCCATGAAAATGGTACACCATGGTCGTTAGGTTTTTTTTTTAATTCTATATAACTATAGTTATCAGGGCCAAGAGTCATAAAATACAATCTAATGATAAGAAGTAGTGGTGGGTGTGGAATTTACATTAACAAATACATTACTCACTACAAAACACAATTGAACGATACAAATATCTAAAGAAAATGCAAATACTTAGACGACGTTTTCAAGAAAGTTATAACGTTTATTGCAACATTATGATAACAATATCGTTTTAGAACACATTCTAATAATAAACATCGGGCAAATTAATCTATATTTAAATTTCATTAAAATTGACCAAAATAGTAAAATGATGCACAGGTAATGCCCCTATTAGGATGGTAATGAAGATAAAAACACCCCCTTAAATGAAATAAAATCATAATTTTTGGATAGTTTTAAAGATGACTTTTGTCAGTTTCATCTACTTGGTAAGTGTTACTTTTTTGCTTAAAAATACTAAAAAAAAAATTACAATTACGTTTCGATTTTTCCTGTTATTATTCGTCTCCATTGTACTATAGTTTCTTTTGTATTATATATGCTGTGTTCCGTTGAAGGGCAAAATTGTAAAAAGGGCATGATTAATTTTCAGCCTAATAAAGATTTGATAAGTATTATTATTATTAACAATGTATCTACCGCAGTTGCGTTCTAAAAAAAGAAGTATAATACGTGTTAGATTACAATGGAAATGTGAAAATAATCGATATTATAATCTAATTTTAATTATCCATACCCGGTTATGCAAACCACGAACAAACTCGACTTAAACATTCAATGTATTGATACATTCTTATCTATTTTTCAGATATGTTGCATAATCTTTTGTGTACACTCAGCCAAATTAACACACCGACTTCAGCAAAAGCTCAATAGAGAAATTTCGAAGTATGGTGTAGATGTATCATTTTTTCAAACACGTATTGGGGAAGCTTATCTTCGAACACAGGGTCTCGTCTGTATTCCAAACTTCTCTGAAATTCGAGAAACTGTTTATCCGACCGACACAAGTTTAAAATCTGAATACATATTGTGGGTGCTTCAGCATTATGAAAATCGGTTTCCTGTGGATATTTCCGTTGCCAAATGTAGTCCTGGCTTCAGTCCAATACATATTAACAAACCGGTGCTATTGAATATTACATCACATCCCATGAAATTCTGCTTCCAGAAAATTGCTGTCAGTTGTCACCGAACCGTCACAGCAATGGAAAGAATGGATAAGAGAAGACTCACTGAGTAGGATGAATTAGAATTAGCATTTCAAAAGTTAGGGAGAAATCTCAGTATCACAAGGGAAAGGCGATTAACCATACGAAGCAACGTGCCTTGCCTAATTACCAGAATCGCATTACGATTATATATGACCAAAATTCAAAAGGCCTGACTTAATCAAAATTACTTTTTCTTAACCGGGAGAAACATGCAAAAACTGGAACTTTGTTTGTGTGAATTGGTGAATCACGGATTATTTAACCAAGTAACAAAAACGCCCGATTTTGTCGGGCGTAGTGATATCAATAATATCTATGTGTCTGTTTCTGTATTAAGTGTAAAAACGACACGGTGGCAAGCAGCAACATCGCTAATATTTCGTGGTTCACGACCCCGTTCGTGACCGACATTAAAGTGGATTTGATTTTGTAACTAGTATTCAGTTAGTCGAACCAGACATAAATGAATTGATATGGGGTCGAACTACTTTTCTGAAAACGGAATGTGAATTGAAATTATTTTTAAAATTGTCCATACTAGACTATAAATAACAGGATTGGCCCCTGTGATATTTCAAATTGTTAATGTAACTTACTCTCGATGTCGCATCCTTAAGATGACCTAAGCTTTAACATGGGCATTATGTTTACTTAAGATGACATTATATTTTCCATGGGCATGGCGAAAGACTGAAATTCACTGCTGGATCTGTCGTTTTGATACTCATTGATAGTTTTTAAATATGTGTATTTCATATGATATGATATATATTATTAATATATTTATATATCGCTTTACAATTGATGTATTGGGCACTATTTTAACAGTGAAAATATTTTGTTATTCTTTTTCATGGTATTAAATCTTAAAAATCACGAAATAGTAAGCATTCATAGGGGGATGCGGGGTAATGCAAACGATCAAAGATCAAAAGGAATAATACGGAAAAAATAGCTCTATGTCACTGAGCCACATTGCATATACAAAAACAGTGAACATGTTATAAGGTAGACCAAAACATATGCCTCTATTCCAGCTGGTTTGCTTCTGATAGCCATTTTGAATGTTGTCAGCGGGTGGATACAGAAAAAGTAGGTTATGTTTTACCGGATTTTCGCTCCTCCGAAGTTAATAACTCGTAATATATATTCGGAAAGATGGATAATTTTGTAGTTCAGTCACCATCATAATCTACTTACACCATTTAAGTCACGTCTGAAGTTCCATCAAAGTTTTTTTTTTTTAACAAAACTGAGCCATGTATAACTGCCTACGCAGTCAAAAGTTCAAAATCACGTGTTACAAAACGAAACTTACGGTAATGCCCAATACTAATTTATAGTCATCGTAATAGTAATTTAATATCATATTAGAAAATCGCACCTTCGAAGGTGTGGAAAATCCCCATTAAACAAGGCCTAGTTTTTCCTGACTCAATTCCAGCAGAAAACTATCAAAATATCTAACAAAGGCTCGAATAGCGGCAGACTCAAACTCTTTCCTTCACTACAACCCTAATTAACTATCTGGTAAGATCAGGAGGGGTTTATGTAATAAGGTTACAGTAAAAAGTTGTTATTCTACTAAATGCATACAGACCAAAATAATTACAATTAGATTTCGTTTCGTTATATTTTCTGTCTCAATTGTAATCTAACACCATTAATACCAGAGTCGCGTACTGGTGGTTGTTAGATGACAGGTTAACGTTCGCTGCCAGCAGATGCTGATATTCCAAACTAGGTAGTTGTTGGTAGTTGTAGTAGTTGACAGATGGGTTGGTTGGATTGATTGGATTGGATAAGTGGTCGTGGTTGGTTGGTTGGTAGATGATAAGTTAACGTTCGCTTCCAGCGGATGTTAAGTGGCCGTGCTATAATTACGCTATTAATGCCACTCTTCGGCCAATCAGAATCCCTTTTACAAACGAGTATAGGCATTCTCATAACTCATAAGGCTCTACTGTGGGTTTCGTTATTTAAATGAACGTCAACATTACACGACCATGATATGTATCTTTTTAGATCAAAATGAAGACAGAAAACAAATATAACGAAACGAAACTGTAACCTTATTTTAATTCTGTTGTATCATTCAACAATTTCAGTCACGTCAGTTATAAAAATTTTGTGATTCCATTCGCCGACTTTTTATGGAATGAGATGTATCATGAAGTATCGATACATGACCTCACGATACGATATCCGTATCATGGAATGTCGTAATGTGATTCGCCGATGTATCGTGTCAGCACTACAGATTATGACGTTATTTGCAAATTCCGATTATTTAAATTTGATATAATGATAACTCGGAAATTACTAAGTATCCTCTTATCCGTTCGTTACTTTGAGGGTTACAAGAAATATTAAGGCTACCGTGAAATATTAAGCTAACATGAAATATTAAATGCCAATATGAAATATAACGCCAATATGAAATATAAAACTAATATGAAATATAAAGCCAATATGAAATATAAAACTAATATGAAATATAAAGCCAATATGAAATATAAAGCCAATTTGAAATATAAAGCCAATTTGAAATATTAAAGCTAATATGAAATATAAAGCCAATATGAAATATAAAGCAAATATGCAATAAAAGCTAATATGAAATATAAAGCTAATATGAAATATAAAGCTAATATGAAATATAAAGCCAATTTGAAATATAAAGCCAATATGAAATATAAAGCTAATATGAAATATAAAGCTAATATGAAATATAAAGCCAATATGAAATATAAAGCTAATATGCAATAAAAGCTAATATGAAATATGAAGCTAATATGATATATAAAGCCAATTTGAAATATAAAGCCAATATGAAATATAAAGCTAATATGCAATAAAAGCTAATATGAAATATAAAGCCAATTTGAAATATAAAGCCAATATGAAATATAAAGCTAATATGCAATAAAAGCTAATATGAAATATAAAGCCAATATGAAATATAAAGCTAATATGCAATAAAAGCTAATATGAAATATAAAGCCAATATGAAATATAAAGCTAATATGCAATAAAAGCTAATACGAAATATAAAGCCAATATGAAATATAATGCCAATTTGAAATATAAAGCTAATATGAAATATAAAGCCAATTTGAAATATAAAGCTAATATGAAATATAAAGCCAATATGAAATATAAAGCTAATATGAAATATAAAGCCAATATGAAATATAACGCCAATATGAAATATAAAGCTAATATGCAATAAAAGCTAATATGAAATATAAAGCTAATATGAAATATAAAGCCAATATGAAATATAACGCCAATATGAAATATAAAGCCAATATGAAATATAAAGCTAATATGAAATATAAAGCCAATTTGAAATATAAAGCCAATATGCAATAAAAGCTAATATGCAATATAAAGCCAATTTGAAATATAAAGCCAATATGAAATATAAAGCCAATATGAAATATAAAGCCAATTTGAAATATTAAATCTATTATGAAATGTTAAAACTATTATGAAATGTGAAAGCTATCATGACATTTTAACACTCTCATAAAATATTAAAGCTTTTGTGAAATGTTCAGACTATCAACAAATATTAAAGCTACGTGTATTATGAAATATTCAAGCTATCATAAAATATTTGAGCTATTATGAAATCGTTAAGCTATCTGGAAACATAAACGCTCAAAAGAGAAAAAAAAAATAACAGCTGTCCTAAAATATGAAAGCTATCCTGAAAAATTAAAAAAGCTATCCTGAAAAATTAAAAAAGCTATCTAAAAATACCGAAAACATCTTGAAATACCGAAAATATCTTGATATTTTTCCAAATTCGTTATTAAGAATCTCACCAGTGACCTGTAATCAACATTATAGGCATGGCCGCTTGCTTGTAACAATACTTTGTCATCAAATTTTTCTGTACTCTTTTAGCTAATTTAGCCGGCTGACTATTACGGTTAATACTGGGTTTGAAACTTTGAGTCAAAAATCGATGTGTGTGTAGCAGACAAGCTTATTGCTGTCTTTCCTCTTTTGATTTCCAACGCACCAACCATTTGGCTTGAATTGTGCAAAAGAGGCAATACAAAGATTAGATACCACTTTTAAATAACTTCAAAATAAAAATATCACAAGATATCACAAAGTAATCATCCATAATAACGTTTTCACTATTATATTCGTCACTAAAGTACCGTTACACCACAGCGAATACCGGTTGCGTATGGTGCGAATAATGCAAGTGGCTATGAGTTTCGAACGCAACTCACAACTGAGCTGCACGAGAGTTGCGTTCAAAACTTGTTCTTATTGGCAACTATACGCAAACCGATATTCTCTGGGGTGTGGCGGCACTTTAGTCGAAAAGAAAACAACCTTCTCTACGTAAACATTTGGAATTATTTGCATTGATATTTTCATTTTCCAACAGAATGTGAGGTATTTAACGATAAATAATGTGTCTAAACTGACGTCCTAATTTGAAATAAATGTACCAAACAAACCTTGATATTCCAAATTAAACCAGGAAGAAAAGCTTCTAATCTTGTAATCGTTTTGACATAACTGATTCGTAAATTGATATCCGGGATATAAAGTATCGTTAATGTGATACGCCCGTGAATAGGTTTAATAACGGTGTAATGCTAAACCTATTATTGTGAAATTCTTGAATACGATCAAATCCGATCAAATTCCTTTCACACACATCATAGTTAAGACCTCAACTGTCCGAGCACTATCACAGCGCCAGATATATATATAATATACTCATATACTCTATGATAGATAATTAATGGATATATCACATGATGCAACTAAGTTGTGAGTTGCGTTCGGTACTCATGCCAACTTTCAATATTCGCAACCATACACAATTATCAATCGCTATTGTGTGAGGGCACCTTTACATGAATAGTTACGACAATGATGGGAAAATCAGACCTTAATACCCCGAAACAGGCTATCTAGATTGAAAGTGTCACCCATAGACTTATGAATCAGGAAGTTCAATATAGGCCAATACTGGTCATTAAATACATAAAATATATATTCGTTATCAATACAAATAAAACAAGTCTTTGAGAGTTCTAATATTGCACTTAGTATGCTTTATTTTTTTAAGTGGCCACTTCACACTTTACTCGGTTTCCTATATTCAAATTTTCAGGATGTTCATCAACAAAATGAAAATACTCACACTAATCCGTCCGCTAACATTTCCCTGCGATAGCTTTAGAATTTGCAGTTTTAACCAATTTTGATCAAATTTGGTATGTATTTATTTAAAATGGAGATCCAGTTTCAATTTTAACCCATTCTGACTTTTAACCACCAAGATATTAACCACTGAGATATTAACCACCTAGATATTAACCACCTAGATATTAACCACAACCTAGATATTAACCACAACCTAGCTATTAACCACAACCTAGATATTAACCACCTAGATATTAACCTCAACCTAGATATTAACCACAGCCTACATATTAACCACCTAGATATTAACCACCTAGATATTAACCACTTAGATATTAACCTCCTAGATATTAACCACAACCTAGATATTAACCACAACCTAGCTATTAACCACAACCTAGATATTAACCACCTAGATATTAACCACAACCTAGATATTAACCACAGCCTAGATATTAACAACAGCCTAGATATTAACCTCCTAGATATTAACAACAACTTAGCTATTAACCACAACCTAGATATTAACCACCTAGATATTAACCACAACCTAGATATTAACCACAGCCTAGATATTAACCACCTAGACATTAATCGCCACCTAGATATTAATCACCACCTAGATATTAACCACAACCTAGATATTAACCACCTAGTTAATAATAGAGATATTAATCACCTAGATATTAACCACCTAGATATCAACCACCTAGATATTAATCACCACCTAGATATTAATCACCACCGAGATATTAATCACCACCGAGATATTAACCTGCTAGATATTAACCTTCTAGATATTAACCGCCGAGATATTAATCACCGAAATATTGACCACCTAGTTATTAACCACCACCTAGATATTAACCACCACCTAGATATTAACCACCAAGGATATTAACCACCGAGATATTAACCGCCTAGATATTAACCACCACCTAGATATTAACCACCACCTAGATATTAACCACCGAGATATTAACCACCGAGATATTAACCCTATGTATATCGCATATCGAGTGCCCTAGCAACTTCGGTTTTTTTTTAACGATGTATTGATTTAATATTACACCTTAATACATTGCTTAGGCAAATAACATGACTGCCTTATCTATAGAAGAGGGACTCAATAAAGAAAATTAAAAACATTTTAGAACGATAAATGTTTGAAAGTACCAGGTACGAGAACAGTGTAGGATTATCGTTTTTTTTCCTTCCAATTGCAGCCCCAGTGTGGGTACAGCCCCCTCCCCCTTGAATAAGGTTTGTAACCCCAATTGTACCCCAAATTCAAACAGATTTCTAATAAATTTAAAAACATGATTTCCCTAAGAATGCACCTACTCGATTACATTTTTTGAAAATATTTTTGGGATAAACCCTGTCAGGAGCTCAATGGGAGGTTTACGTATTTTTCCATAGAGCTGCCGCCACATTTGGAATCTCAATCTCACAATGGACTCCGTAATGCATTTATTCGCTCCAAAACGGGTGCCGTCATGCCAAATGTACTAATTGTACTAATAGAACCTAATCTATCGTACATAACTTAAATTACGAAGCAAGGTTAACAATTGTAAAGTAGTTTGACTGGGATTGAAACACATTTTGCTGGGCAAACATTAACACTGAGTCACAAGATTACCTGGCTAGGGTGATGTTATCGTGAATCCATGGGATAACCAACTCCCCCCTTTCTACTGAGCCACCGCGGCTCCCGTATAAGTATTCAAAGAGGAAGTATATCTTTAATGACCTGCATCGCTGACAAGGAAATCTTTATACACCTGAATACGCATTCAATGGCAGTACATACACATATACTTAATTAATTCAACGAAATAGTTTCTTTCAAATTTTCTTAGTAAACTCTCTGGTTGTTCCGCCCCTTAAATCTGTCATAGGTTATTCTTATGCAATTTATATCCTTGTTATAAAAGGGTGTGATATTTAACATAATATGTCATTGTATCATTGTCAAGTCAGCAGACGGTCAGAACATTATGTGAAAGGTAAGAATTCATGTCTTTAAGACGCGTTTTGTAATGAAGTATGAAACAGAAAGGGACTCAAGTCGCCTGCCGAATAGTATCCTATGCAGCCGAGGTGAGCGAAATAGTGACTACGATCTGATTTGACCGAAATGACTACAATATCGTCTGTTTTCTTTTGAACAGAACCTGAAAAACTGACGACAATCAACTGGCGGTATTAGCGATAATTTAGTCATTGACCGATTGATACAATTTTCCCAGATCTGGTCAGTTGCTAGCTTGCAGTTTTGTTGAAAGTCTCAAATTTGCCATTCGCAAATTCCGTTTAATGAATCGTATCATTTATATTTCCATGAAAGAGGTTTTCTAAACTTTTTATGTGTATTTGGGGCACTGATATCGCCAATTTTGACCATTCAAATTTTCAGTCAGACGTCTATGGCACTTGCAATTTCACTAAGAGTACGCTTTTTATGACGCCACTTCCTCAAAAGCTGCTTTGCCCTTAGATATATAAGGACCTTTGATATAGTGACGTCATAAAACGCATAGTTTAAGAGGAATTACAACAACTTCGGACGTCTGAAAAATTGGAATAGTGAAAACCGATGTTATCAGTGGACCTTATATACATATAAAACTTCTTTACAATCCCTTATTTTTAATAATTAATTCCAAAAACGCTCAAGATCATTTCCCTGGAGAGTTGTTGTAAGGAAAAATCGTTTCAACAATCAACAATTACTTATGTTCTATCGCCAATAGATATACAACTTCTCCCATTTTCGTCAAAGTCGGTCAAGGATTTAGCCTTCATTTAAGCGGATAAAATAGACGTATACAAATTAGGAAGGTTCATTCTCCGAATTGGTACAACTCTGAGACGTATATTACATCAATTAAATTATAATGAATATTTGCACAAACAGAATTATATTAAAGATGCCATAGCTGACGTTGTCGAAAGAGATATCTCTGCAAACCATAATATTAATAATAAATTTTAACATGGGTCAGAATTTGTCCCATACACCATAGTGGCATGGCCCTGTCGATCATTCAGCCCAACTTTTTTGCTGATGTCAGCTAATTTTGTATGTGTGTAGGCGGGTTACAGGTAAATTCATATCGGACTTGTGCATGTACAGAAGTTGATATTTTCCAACAAGATTCATCTTTAGGTAAGTAGATAATAATTGCCTGCATTAGTTTCGTGAGTTTTTTCAGGTTTCAATTAAAGGGGCATTCAGTTTCTTTGCTCAAATTTTTGATAACTATACACAACAAAATCTAGAGAGAATGGCCTCCTAACATATCTGAAAGTTTTAATTTAAAAAATCAGCCGCTAATTTTTTTTGGCAAAACTATTTATAACATAAAGAAAGCTGTCTATGTTTATTTTAGTAGGTGTAAGAAAAATACTGTACGGATTTAAGCAAAATAAACGCCAAATTGTAGAGAAACATGTCGCATACTTTTCTGGAAGTATTACATTATGTTCTTATTGCATATAATTAAGAGTTTTAACCAAGCATAAATGTATATGTATGTACAGTCTGGATAAACAAAAAAAAAGACCTTTTGACCTTTCTTGATCGGTCACTCATTGGAATTCTGCTGGAAATTCTCTTCTTATTTAGCTAATTATGAATTGATTATGGACATGTGAGACAAACTGGTATTTTTCCAAGTCATTAGAACACCTCTACTTATTATTCATATAAGTATTAGCATTTTCATTTTCGTAAAAATGAAAATAAGGGAACCCATCTTTAATTAACAATTAATACGCTCCGTTTGTAATTATGGCGATCAATTTCTTATATTTTTTTCTGCATATTTCGGCAGAAAAATGATTCCCAAATTGTCGTCGTAGATTTTATTTTGGGCTTATCAAAAGAAATATTGGATCGCAAAAAGAGGGCTCTTATATTGAACCAAAGTTTTATAACATACTAACCTTTTTAGTAAGTGGTGCTCAGTCCGTAACTGACAGGGCCTTTATGTCTCGTGTGGATCATTATCCGCTTTATATCATACATCAGTCACTACATAACGACTATTAGCCTGTGCACGTTAAGTAGAATTCTTCAAGTTAAAGGGAGGTAACAAATAAAATCGATCATTTGGACTCTGGACTGTAATTCACTTGCCATCTGTTTCCATGTTAAATCACGAAATTCAAACTTCTATAACTTTTAACAGAAATCTCGTTAACCATTCCAATAATATGTCACATGAAACTCTGGTCAATACGTAGTTTCTGGACAAAACTTCAGTAAATCATGACTTGAAATCTTGAGCTAGCCAAACTGAACATAGACCACTACATCTTATCAACATCCGCTTGACCGTCACTGAACAAAAAACGACTATTTTTACAATTGTCTTATCATCTCATAAAATCAAATTTCAGTCATCAAATTCCAAAATTAGTCAAAAATAGACATGCAAAAACCCGAAAAGGTAGGGAGAAAGAGGATTTCTTAAGATAACATGGACATACAATTATTTACATGAAACGTTTTAGTGGTCTGAGTCCATTTCGCCACTCTCCAAACATAAAAGTACCATGGTCTTGAAACCAGAGAAATGCACAATAAAAATTAAGAATTTTTTTCTTACTCAATTTCTAAGACAGATGAGAACTAGGCCTTTAGGCTAGATTTCATTTTCTAAAGAATAGATTTTGAACGACACTCAAGTGAGTACATTACTTAATGAAATTAAAGACCTAATAATGCATTGTACCGTATCTAGTTCATTAGATTCCAAAATAATACTTTTCCGTCCTTATTTTTCTTACCATTTCACATTCGAGATTTCCGCTGTTGAATTTCCTGAATATTAAAAATAGATGATATCAATTTCCTATTGTGATGTTTCCTCAGTTCCGTTTCTATGTGAGGAAGGCGGGGGTGTTGCAAATTGAGACTGGACCGGATATGCCCCCCACCTCATTTTCGCTCATCATATGACATAGGGAAAGTTTTGTCTATTATCCCCCCACCACCCTTGACAATTCTGTGGCCCCTTATTTAATCTAATATTCAGTAGGCGACAACTTGATTACCGAGAAAATACAAATATATATATATATGATCAATATCCATCTTTCTAATCAATTATTTCCATAACGTCTGTTTATATTTCATAATTAAGAAAATAGATCGAATTATATGGGCTTACGAATTTTTGAATTTTAAAAATTAATTTTTTTCCAATTTTTTCGCTTAAGCATTTTTTTGTAAACGCTCGTCATAAACAGAATTTAAAAAATACAAAAAAAGAATGCTACGAATTTTTTAACTTCGTTAATTATGGATTCATTTTCCTTTTTTTTCGCCTTTCGCTTATACATCATCTGTAAACAAAGGCCAAAAACAGAATCTAAAAGATACAAACAAAAGGTTGCTACGAATTTTTCAACTTCACGTTTCAATTTCTTCATTTATACATCATCTGTAAACGCTAATCATAAACAGAATCTAAAAGATACAAAAAAGGATGTAACGAATTTTTTAACTTCGTTAATTATGGATTCATTTTCCATTTTTTTTTTCGCTTATACATCATCTTTAAATAAATGCCATGCATTTTATTCCATTATCGACAATATATCATCAGATGATTAAAATAAATATAAAATTTTGGTGATCTAAGCATCAAATTTCAGTGGTGACAACTAATGCTAATGTGGATCAAAATTTTATCATTTATAGTTAAACAAAAGTTTTAATTTGATTTTCACAAATCTTTGAATGCTGATGTTGTTAGTTCTTTTTGTTGATGGTAGCTTACTTTGAAAAATTGTTGAGTTATTGGCTTTGGAATTGGAAAATGGGTTTGTTCATTAGATAGATGGCTTATGTTTCATGTCATTTTGGTAGATTGACAGAATATCAAA